ATACATTTGTATGCTCTTCTCTTGTTAATGTGCCTTTTGTTACAGGGGCCTCAGTCATGAACCTACGAAAGTTAGAGGAAAAATATTTTTTTATCCTCACATAGGGGGAGTGTTGGCTTCCAGATAATCTGCTTTCTTAAGACTTCTAGTAAGCCTCCCACAATGACATGGGGCAGAGACTGGGCTGGGGGGCATTTGCGGGCAAGCCCTAGTATTAGACTCCACAGCTCCTCATTCCTTCTGCTCCCCATCTGGTGCTCCATGTCAGACCCCACACACTGAACATGCATAGAGCTTATGGCTCACTCTTGGCTTGAGAGTTTCCATTTCAGTCCAGGCTGCTTCTCCTTCTCCCAGAAGCTCTAAAGTTTCCCATGCAAATTACACACCTGGTGGTCTGCCCCTGCAGACTCAGAATTTCTCAGGTGAGTGGCAGATGAGCAGCCCTATTTGGGAGTTTTGAAGGACATTTATGCAGTGTCTCCTTTTACATCCATTGGCATATATGATTTGCTTTCCCTTGGGTTATTTTTAAATCACTTTTTTATTCCTCAAGTGGAAATTGGAAGAAGAAAGAAGGAGCCCCTAGGCCTCCAGAGTGTCATGAAAAGCCACCCCCTTTCTGTAGGATAATCTGCAGATGAATATTTGAGAGTTGCTTACCACTACATTCTCCCATCATCAGAAGCCCATCTTTTCTGTGCCGCCCTTCCTATTCTCAATGACTACCATAGTCTGTTTTACTCGTGGCTTCCTGGAGAAATAATCAGTAGGAGCTGATTGGAGTTTTGCCAATGCGTAGAAACAGCGGGGCACGTGCGCCATGACTGGGTGTGCTGCTCCCAGTGGCTTGTGTCTTGTGTCAGACTAGGGTGTGTGCGTGTATGTGTTTTCTTCTCTTTCTGATTATTGCCCTCTTACTACACCCACCCCAGAATTAATTTCCCATCAAAATGCTGAGAGTGAAAAAGGGATAGGTTAGTTAGAGGTTTTAAGTAAATGGTTTACCACCACAGCTCATTGACAGCGATTAAAATGCAAATCCTCTCACTCAGTAGGTAGGATGGAGCTTTGATGTATCCTTTTGTGGAAGGCAAGAATCAACAGCTGACGTGGTAATCAGGACTCATCAGCAGAAATTGCTTCATTTCTATGCTCTCAGGCAGTTTTGTGAAGCACTGAATTTGGGGAAATAGAAGCAGGGCACTGGAAGAAAGAGCGGGCTCTGCTAGTCAGTCCTGTGTGATGGGGAGAGAATTCCCAGGCACAGAAGGCTTCTTTTCTGTTTGTGGCGGCCTCTTGCTTGACTGTGTTTGACTTAGGATAAAAACTCCAGTTCTACTCAAAGAACGAAGGTCCGAGGTCCCTCCCTAAGAATAAAACTGCTTGTGCAAAAATTATAAATGTAACTGCCTTTGTAGGACTAACAGATTAGTCATAAGATTAGAAATGAAGCTTAGGAGTTATGCAGCTGGAGGCCACAAGATTCTAAACCATCCCAATTGCTCCTAGGTAAAACTATCACTATTGTAAAACCTAAGATTGGTGCTTGAGATATTTTGCAGACCCTGTACTGGAGGGATCAGCTGGTGCCACCCAGATCGATGAACTGGCTCATCTGATCTTGTGGCTCCCACTCAGGAATCGACTTAGCACAGCAGGACAGCTTTGACTCCTTATGATTTCATCTCCGACCTGACCAATCAGCCCTGGCCCTCTACCTGCCAAATTATCCTTTAAAAAAAAAAACAAAAACCAGTCTCACGAGGTCAGGAGTTCGAGACCAGCCTGACCAACATGGTGAAACCCCATCTCTACTAAAAATACAAAAATTAGCCAGGCATAGTGGCGCACACCTGTAATCCCAGCTACTCGAGAGTCTGAGGCAGGAGAATCGCTTGCACCCAAGAGGCGGAGGTTGCAGTGAGCCGAGATTGCACCACTGTACTCCAACCTGGGCGACAGAGCGAGACTTCTTCTGGGGCGGGGCTGGGGGAAATTTTCAGGAGACTGATTTCAGTAATAATAAAACTCTCATCTGCCATTTAGGCAGCTCTGTGTGAATTAAATTTCTCTATTACAATTCCTCTGTCTTGATAAATCTGCTGTGTCTGGGCAGCGGGCCAAATGAACCCAAAGGGCGGTTACCAGAAGATATAATCAGAAATTCTGAGGGTTACTGCAACTTGCGGAAAAATGTCCTGCCGCAGGTTCTCCTGTATCAACTACATTCTGCAGCTGGGGTTTTCAGCTAACTTAAGACAATGTGAAGACAGTGAGTTCCAAATGGGTCATGAATGGATTTAACTTAGAATTTAAAATTTATGTCAGGGAGCATTTGTGTCAAGAAATGAGACAAAGGTGATATATATGAATTCTCCAAAACATGAGGAAAGATTTTTTTTTTTTTGATATGAAATTTCACTCTTGTGCCCAGGCTGGAGGGCAATGGTATGATCTCGGCTCACTGGAACCTCTGCCTCCTGGCTTCAAGCGATTCTCCTGCCTCAGCCTCCCAAGTAGCGGTGATTACAGGCACCTACCACCACACCCAGCTAATTTTGTATTTTAGTAGAGATGGGGTTTCTCCATGTTGGCCAGGCTGGTCTTGAACTCCCAACCTCAGGTGATCTGCCTGCCTTGGCCTCCCAAAGTACTGGGATTACAGGCTTGAGCCACTGCGCCTGGTCAAGGACGGATTTTTGGTCTAGAGCTATGCTGTCCAGTACTGTAGTCATGGGCCACATCTGGATAGGGAGCATTTGAAATGTGGCCAGGTCAAACTGAGGTGTGCTATAAAGATGACATGTAAATAGGATTTTAAAGAATTAGAAAAAGGGAATGTAAAATAACTCATATCACTGTTTAATATTGATTTCATATTGAAATACAATTTATATTGGAGTAAATAATATAGTAAAATTAACTTGACTTTTTTTTTTTTTTTCTTTTTTAACTTTGTGGCTATTAGAAACTTTAAATTTTTAAGTGTGGCTCATGTTCTATTTCTATTGGGCAGCACTAGGCAAGATTTCATCATCATTCTCCAGTCTGCATAGGGCTCCTTGCTCCCACTAGAGGGAGGTATGTTCCAGCCTCAGGAACTCTGAGGCTAGCGTGTAAATAAATGCCACTGCTTTTGAGTGAACTCTTAAAAAAGAAGCACCAAAAAAAAAGCTTAAGTTTTCGCTTTGTTTTAATCCCGTGTAACTCTGATGTTTCTAAAGGTTGCAGTTTGTGTGAAAGTGAAGCCAAAACAGAAGAGGGAAGAGGCAGAAAGTTTTTCTACTCTCTTTGCCCTAATGAATTCAGAGGTTTCTGTTACTTCTTTGTTGGATCACAGTAACTTGTCATTTGTTTGCCAATTGTTCCCTTGGACTTGAGTCTGTGTGTCTGTGTGCAGTGCAACATGCAAATAGGTGCGTGCACACACGCATACACAATGTCGTCTTGCATACAGCTGTCACAGAGAGGACCAGTGCCCTACTGTAATCACACACCTCCATGGCACACCCAGATCACTTGGAGTGCACTGTAGTTGGGGCTCCTGGAGGTGTGCCATGTGTACCCGGGGCCGGTGTGCAAGCCCCTCCCTTGTGTATTGTTCCTAAATGTTGCCTGTGGTCTGACGCTTAGCTTGCTGTTTGCCTCTAGTGTGTGTGAATCTGCCCCTTGATCCTACTCTGAACCCAGCATCATTTCATGATTATGTTTTAGTGTCAGCACTCTCCTGGGTTTCCTTCTGGGTAGCTCCTTTTTGGTTTCTTGTGGTTTTTATACTTTTGTTGATCTGATAAGCATTAATATTTCCCCATTCTTGTCTAGGTACTCTTTGTCCTTTTTTGGGGGGGGAATCTCAGTCATTCTGGTGGCTTTGTGCCACCCTTATACTGAGAACTCGTAAGTCTTTATCTCCAGCTTAGAGCATTCCTTTGAGCTCCACCCACACCCATGCAGCTGCCTACAGGACATCGCACCTCAGCATCAGCCCCCACAGCATTCCTTCCTGCATCAATTCACTCATCAGCACTATCTTCGTTTCTTATTCTGTGTTTGTCTATCTTCCCCAGTCAACAGTAAGCCCCAGGAAGACAAAAGCCACACCAGTCTGACTGCATTTCATTCCTAGTATCTTGTACTGTGTCTGGTTATTGTATATCCTCAAGAAGTGTTTGCAGATATTGTTTTATCTTTTGTTTCAAATCAACTGTATTGTTTACTTATATACATTCTCATTACCATTATATGACTATTTTATTATATTTTGTTAGCATTATATCATAGTGGATCCAATCACCATATTTTGTGGCAAGTCAGTGTCAAAATTTCTTTCTTTTTTTTTCTTTCTTTCTTCTTTTTTTTTTCTTTTTTTTTTTTTTTTGAGATGGAGTCTTGCTCTTGTTGCCTAGGCTAGAATACAATGGTGCAATCTTGGCTCACTGCAACCTCTGCCTCCCGGTTCAAGCGATTCTCCTGCCTCAGTCTCCTGAGTAACTGGGATTACAGGGGCCTGCCACCACACCTGGCTAATTTTTGTATTTTTAATAGAGGTGGGGTTTCACCATGTTGGTCAGGCTGGTCTTGAACTCCTGAACTCGTGATCCGCCCTCCTCATTCTCCCCAAGTGCTGGGATTACAGGCGTGAGCCACCATGCCTGGCCCAAAATTTCTAACAGCATGTGCACGTGGGCCATTTGCAGTAACCCTTCCCATGTTTTCCTGTGTTGGAAACTCTTCTCCCTTGCTCTCTCCTTTTGTGACCCTTATTACAAGCCAAATTTCCATCAGTGGCTCTACGTATTTCCAGGAACTTAGGTCACAGAACACTGGAAAGCAGGGTCAAGCAGTGTGGTATGTTTCCGTGCCTGCAGCTTAGTCCACCGGCTGCTTTTCCAGGACATAGTCCAATTCCTTTAGTGCTTCAGCTCTTCAGCCAACCCAATTTTGTTTAGATTTGTGACTAACGAAGACTTTTTTTTTTGTTGGTTTGTTTTGGTCAGAACATGAAGAGGAGCTGGACCAGGAATTTGAGCTGGAGACTGACACTTTATTTGGAGGATTAAAGAAGGTACAAAGTGGATGAATAAAAAATCTCAGTTTTCAAACCTGGTTTCAATATTTCACATCACGTTTGTATTTGGAGTCAATCCAGGTATCGTATTCAGCAACAATCTGGAATGAGGCGTCCTTTCTGCTGTAAAGGTGTGAGTGTGCTGTGTTGGGGAAGGCATTCCCAGGGTCTGTATCTTCTTGTCCCCTGTTCTCTTCTGAAGATACCAGAAATGTGATTAACCTTATCAGTTAGGACAGTTTTCACTTTTGGAAAGCTCAGAAACTTCTTTCTTGACCTAGCCAGATCCATCAGAATCACATGTGGCCCCCGGACACTCCTACACCGACCGTTGGCAGCTGCAGAAACATCTTCCTTCTGGCCTCTGAGTGTCCCTGGCTGTTCACGCTGCTGCACAGCGTGCTGGGAATTCACATTCCTCCTCCCTCTGGTGGGGCGGTGCCAGGGTGCTGGCTCACTTGTCTTCAGCAGCAGCTCATTTTGTATTTTGTCTACTTTGGTAGCAGGCAGAGTGGCCACTGTTCTTTCACATACCCGTGTCTTTCTAGATGTGACCAGTAGCACGTCTGTGCTAGAGTATATATTCTGGGTAGGGTACCACACCCTTCTCTTCCAATTGAGAGATGCCTGACTACTTTTTTCTCCCACCAGAACCCCTGTCCCTTTGAGGCTGGAGTTCTTCTCATTCTTCTCCATTCAGTTTCTTAGGGCCCCATTTCAGTTACGACTTGGACCGTGGAGGGTCCAGGGCCCAGCTCATGGTGTGGGCTTCGGGTCAAGGCTGATTATGGGCTGCATATTTGTTTTTCTAAGTATTTTTATATGTTTTAAAAATGTTATCAGAGCATTGTTTTTTTTTTGTTTTGTGTTTTCTGTTTTTACTTTAAGTATGTAATATACCAAATAAATCATAAATTCAATCAGCCTTTTGTGGGCTGGCTTGGGACATAAAAGACACCTTGCATTCCAGGTTCTGAACATTCTGCTTATGAGTGAACTTTTGCAAGACAGTTCATGTCCAAGTTGGGTACTGACTGTACTAATATTTTTCTCCTGTTGTAAGTTGCAGATCTTACTTGAATTGTAACAAATATAGCTCAATTTCCATTTTGATTTGCTAGGGTAAGCCGTTCCTTTCTCCCAGCGCTGTACAGAGCCATGCATAAGATCCAAGGCCCATGTTTGTCTGGAACTAGGAAGAGTATCCTGCCCTGCGTGGGGTGCCATTCTTGGCTTTCCTTGCTCTACCCACCAGATACTTCCATGAAAACTTAGATGTAAATTGAATTTTCATCCGTGGCATCCATTTCTAGATAGCTCTTCTTTAAATAAGCTCTTTTCAGGATTGTTAGTGAGAATGTAATGTGGGTAGTATTGTACCCACCTCAGAGATGAGGACATTTAGGAAGCTTTGTCACAAAGTGGAATTTGAGATGTAATAGGAGGTAGCCTTTGTGTGTCTCAGATCTACTCTTTACCACTATAACATTAGCAGATGTCTTACAGCAGAAAAAAAGGTGATTTTTTTCCTTTTAGAATTAAAATTCAAACATTTTAGATAATATTGAAATATAGAATTATGTGCCAGGGGCACAAATAAGCAGACACATTGGAGAGACTTTGAGCTGCAGAGGAGCAGTGGTGAGGCAGCACGAGAAAGGAAACACAGGGTAAGGCCCCAACAAGGTTTGGAGCTGCCACAGATTTCATTATCAAGGGCAGGCTCAGCCCAGTCGTGTGTTGCTACTTCTAGACAAAGGGGCTTTGTCTTCACTGACTTCCCGGCTCCTATCACTTCATTGGGTCAAGCCCAGCTGCTTGACTGACTCCCTGCAGAGGCTCCAGAGCCCTGCAGAGATGACCACTTCTCAGTGCTCTCCACTCCTCACAGTGCTCTCAGTGCTCTCCACTCCCCACAGTGTTCTCAGTGCTCTCCACTCCCCACAGTGTTCTCCACTCCCCACAGTGCTCTCCACTCTCCACAGTGCTCTCCACTCCCCACAGTGCTCTCCACTCTCCACAGTGCTCTCCACTCTCCACAGTGCTCTCCACTCCTCACAGTGCTCTCCACTCCCCACAGTGCTCTCCACTCCCCACAGTGCTCTCCACTCCCCACAGTGCTCTCAGTGCTCTCCACTCCCCACAGTGTTCTCCACTCCCCACAGTGCTCTCCACTCTCCACAGTGCTCTCCACTCTCCACAGTGCTCTCCACTCTCCACAGTGCTCTCCACTCTCCACAGTGCTCTCCACTCCCCACAGTGCTCTCAGTGCTCTCCACTCTCCTCAGTGCTCTCCACTCTCCACAGTGCTCTCAGTGCTCTCCACTCTCCTCAGTGCTCTCCACTCTCCTCAGTGCTCTCCACTCCCCACAGTGGCTCTCAGTGCTCTCCACTCTCCTCAGTGCTCTCCACTCTCCACAGTGCTCTCCACTCTCCACAGCAGCTCTCATAACAGGGCTGGGGTTGGGAGTGTTGTTGCTCAGGCCAGTTCTGCCTTCACAGAAAAGTCCACGTGGCACAGGCACGTACTCTGGGAGCTCCAAATTCAGTCTTTTGCCATCCCGACAAATCTGTCTGTCCATCCCTCTGTCTCTCATTCATCGACAGTGCTGTGAGCGCCTCTCACCTTCTCATCTTTCTGCTTCTCATCACCTTGCATGTGGGGTGGGTGGTTTGGAGCCCTAGAATTTATGGAGGAAATGGTGAGTCCTGGTGGATATCCAGCAGATGAAGGACATTGATATAGGTCCTTAGGATCAAAACAGTCTTTGCTGAATATTTCTTTTCTCAGAGGCTGTAGGAGGTGGCAAGCACATGCTATTTTGGTCCAAATTCTAATCAAAAGAAGATATTAGGTGTGACTAGAAATCATGACCTTTAGAAGAAAGTTTATGTTTTCTGACCAGCCCATCCCTTGAATGTTAGTCTGCAGCTGGATTGGTAAACCTCAGTACTGCTGATATTATTATTATTATTATTATTATTTTGAGACAGAGTCTCCCTCTGTTGCCCATGCTAGAGTGCAGTGGCATGATCTTGGCTCACTGCAAGCTCTGCCTCCTAGGTTCTAGTGATTCTCCTGCCTCAGCTTCCTGAGTAGCTGGGGTTACAGGTGCCTGCCACCAAGCTCAGCTAATTTATTTTATTATTATTATTATTTTTTAGTAGAGATGGGGTTTCATTATGTTAGGCTGGTCTCAAACTCCTGACCTCAGGTGATCCACCTGCCTTGGCCTCCCAAAATACTGGGATTACAGGCGTGAGCCACCATGCCTGGCTGACATTTTATTTTATTTTGTTGAGACAGGGTCTCGCTCTGTAACCCAGGCTGGAGTGCAGTGGCACAATCTCAGCTCACTGCAACCTCCATCTCTCGGGTTCAAACATTTCTCCTGTCTCAGCCTCCCAGGTAGCTGAGATTACAGGCACACACCACCACGCCTGGCCAATTTTTGTATTTTTAATAGAGATGGGGTTTCACCATGTTGACTAGGCTGGTTCAAACTCCGGGCCTCAAGTGATCCACCTGCCTTGGCCTCTCAAAGTGCTGGCATTACAAGTGTCAGCCACCGTGACTGGCCACATTTTATTTTTTTAAATATTATTATTTTTTTTAGAGATGGGATCCTGCTCTGTCACCCAGGCTGGAGTACAGTGGTGTAATCACAGCTCACTGGAGCCTTGAACTCCTGGGCTCAAACGATCCTCCTGCCTCAGCCTCTTGAATAGCTGGGACTACAGACATGCACCACCATACCTGGCTAATTTTTTATTTTATATAAAATAATTGTATATATTATTTTGTAGAGATGGGGTCTCACTATATTACCCAGGCTGGTCTTGAACTCCTAGCCTCAGCCTCCCAAAGCACTGGGGTTACAGGTGTGAGCCACACTGCCTGGCCACTACTGACATTTTAGATCAGATGGCTGTTGTGGGTTGCTGCTCTGGACATTGTACAATGCTTAGCAGAATCCCTGGACTCTACCTAGTAGATGCTAGCAGCATTTCCTGCCCTAAGCCTTAACAATTTAAAAAAGTGAGCTGGGTGTGGTGGCTCACTCCTGTAATCCCAGCACTTTGGAAGGCTAAGGCCAGCAGATCACTTGAGGTCAGGAGTTTGAGATTAGCCTGGCCAACATGATGAAACCCCATGTCTACTAAAAATACAAAAATTAGCCAGGCATGGTGGCGTGTGCCTGTAATCCCAGCTACTCCAGGGGCTGAGGCACGAGAATGGCTTGAACCCGGGAGGTGGAGGTTGCAGTGAGCTGAGATGGTGCCACTGCACTCTGCACTCCAGCCTGGGCATCAGAGTGAGACCCTGTCTCTAAAAATAAAAACAAAAACGAAAAACAGTTTAAAAAGTCTCCATGCATTGTCAAATGCCCCCGGGAGGCAAAATCATCCCCTTTTAAAAGCAGCTGATCTATAGCAATATTTAAGTGCTCTTAAATGACCACTGTCTTAGTCATGCCAATTTGCCATTCTTTCCTTTGCTCATCCTGTTCCTCTTCTGGATTGGGGCTCACGCCTTCCCTGTCTGGCCGTCACTCACACTCCAGATCATAGCTGGCTCCCTGTCATGGAAGTATCGCCTGAACCTCAAGCCGGCCTTGGTACTCATAGTTCCTGACACTTCCCTGCCTCTCTCTTTACTTCCTTCCACAAATACAGCTTTCAACGAGAGTGTCTCTGTGCTCAAGTCCATATGGAGTGCTGGGGACAGTGGTGAACCAGACAGACAATGTTCCTATGCTAGTGTCTCCTACTAGGAACAGGCTGACCACAAATAAATGAACAAACAATGGCCGCAGACTGAGCTAAATGACATGAGGGCAGTAAACAGGGTGATAGGATAGCTCTGTTTTGGATCAAATTGTGTACCCTATTATGAAAAATTGATTTGTAGAATTTTATTTGGTGTTATCCTTTCTCACATAGATTGTGGGTCCCACAAAAGCAGGGCTGGGATTTAATCATTTCTGTATCTTCAA